CCAACATACAGTAAGCACTAACAAGTATTAGCTACTTTTATTGTTGTTGCTGGTTCATGTCGGTTGTCTCATCAATAAATACAATTATTATCTTCATTTTTAGAAAAAGGAAATGGGACTTAGAAGTGAAATAACCACCTGCAGGGTACACAGCAAGGGTGTGGCAGAGCCAGGGTTCAAAGCCAAGTCTGTGTGACTTTTAAGCCCAATGGAGGTCACTTTCCACACACCACTGAGAGGAGATGATGGCCTCCAAAGAGAAGGAAGCCCTCAACAGAATGCCCTCAGCTGGGAAGGAACAACCAGCTTGTGAGCTCTAGCTTTTCTTCCCCGCTTGTCCCATTTTCCACACCTGCAACTTTATCTGGGGGACTTCCAGCTCCACTTGCATACCATCAGTCCTCAGCCAGGTCTTAGGGGACCAGTCCTCCTCCAAAGGCCACTGACAAAGCAGCCTTCATCTATAAAGGGAACAAAGTCCATGCTTTCACACTGAGCCTTGGCCTTGCAGCAATCAACTCACTTTGGAGTCAGGAACCAGTCTGTGCTCCCAGATAGAACTCAAGCCTCACAGACCATGGGGGTAGGAGTAGGGGGTCTGAGGGATAACTCAGAAGGGGAGGGGCTTATCTAGGGAGTGGAGGCAGTTGCATGGAGGAAGTGGTCTTGTTGCTGAGAAGAAAATCGCCTATTAGAGTGAGGCAGGGAGTTTCCATGAATTTTTAAGACAGAGGGAATGGGATATACAAAGGCCCAGAGGCATGAAAGGGTCTGGTATGTAAGAAAAAAGAATGATGTAATTCGGTATATCTGGAATTTGGACTGAATAGAAGAGGGAAGAAGGACAGCATGGGCAAATGAGCCAGCATAGGTAGTTTATGAGCAGATGGTGAAGAATGCCGCAATTGGGCAAGTCTTCCTAAGAGGAAGGAGAGCCACTGAAAAGTTTCTGTTATAGGAACAACAAGAGCAGATCTGTTAAGTTCAAAGGTCCATGGCCCCCAGCCCTGGGCATGTGGAAGGTGGACTGAAGAGAAGGGGCAGAGACTAGAGGCTGGGTAGACGAGCAGGGGGGCTACTTCGGTGTTCTTGTAAGATATATGAGAAGTGGCTGAACTGGGAGGAAGAAGAAGTCTGGATCTTCTGGATACTCTCTCTGGCCTGCCCCATACCCAACAGGCCTCATCTATAAATGATGAGAGGTTAGCAACACTGTAATTGCTGGGGACACTTGCCCTTCTCAAGTTTGGTTGGGGTAAGGTTCCTACAAGTCAAGGCTTCCTGGGGCCAGAGGGCCAGTGTCATGGATTCACATGCTAACACCTTTCATTCTGGCCTCTTTCTCACACTAACAGCCCAAGGCTAGAGCAGAATAAAAAGTACCCTACTTTTTGGCATACCCCCCATCCCCTTTAGTAGAGTTGCTTAAGTGAGGGGTCCTAGCTCTACCTTTGAGTGCAGACAAGAAGGGGAGAATGGAGAAGAGCAATTCAGGACCTGCTCTTTCTGTCAGAGGAAATATCTACCTTCCTAAGCCTTTAAGAGACTTTTTTCTTCCAGGTAGGTCCTGCTATTACCAGGGCAACCAAGATCTGATCAGGATGCAAGAAGTGCTGGTTGGAAGTGAGGCCCACATGCACCTCCCATTTGGGGATAGCCTCTCACCCTGTTAGTGCCTATGCTTATCCCCTGCAGAAGCCCACCCCACCTCCACCCTAGAAGCCAGTTCTGGTGGTCAAGGGTACAAAGGCTATATGGCTCCAATGGACCTTGTTTCTCAGGGCCAGGCTTCTGCAAGCACCCTGTGGCATATCTATGTCAGGAGGGTGCCAACAGCTGTCTTGAGGCAGGTGTCCAGGACGGGTAGCTCACACCAGACCATAGTACATGCTGGGGGATCATTGCACATACTGTGTTTCTTGATCACTTACTGTGTGGAACTGGATCTCTGGGCCAGTTCCTGCTCCAGGGAGCTCTTTGGGAAATCTCAGAACCAAATTGGCCATTAAATATCACCTGGGCTCTATTCTGCAGTGGGCTGGACTGTGTTTGGGCATTGGAATTGCCTAGGGAGCTTTTTATAAATAGAAATTCCTGGAGCTTCTGACTTTATCAGTGTGGGTACAGGTGGAGGGGGCGGGTTAAGAGCATGTGTTCTGAATGTCAGACCGCGGGGTCCACAGTCAACTCAGCAAATGGGGTGAGTGACCTTGAGCCACCTCCCCAACCTCTCAGACACCGGTTTCCTGACTTACAGAGTGAATGAGGAGAACAGTTGAGCCTCTTTACAGGCAGGAATATTTTCTCTGCCTTCCTCCATCTCTTGGGGAGAGAGTTTTTAGGATTCTCACCATCTTTGTCACCCTTCTCTTACCCCTACCCCTTTAATTCCTTCTTCCTTTCTTTCTGATGTATTCTTACTCCTGGCATGCAAAAGTGCTTCTGTGAGTTACAATTTGGTCCCCTTCTGCTGGACAGCCAGGACCCCAGGTGGAGCCTGCCCATCTCCAGGATCCTCCACTACCCTTGCAGCAGCCCAGGACAGCACTGCCGATACAGACCCAGCCCCCATCAACTCAACATTCTGATTTTTGTTTTCACAAGCCTCCAAGCCAGGCTTTTGCAGTTGGTTTTCTGAACTTGACTGCAAGATCTCATACATGACACTAATAAAGGTCTTTTCAGTATATCCTTTCAGGTTAGGAAGACTTTTTGTTGTTGTTGTTGTTTTGGCTGCTGATTCTATTTTGGAAGGGGATCCTCTAGTCCTCCGAGCTTCATGCCACCTACAGATTCCCTTAGCAGGCTGCCTCTAGGTCTCTAGCCAGCAGCCTACTTATTTACTCACTTCATTTATCTATCTAACTAGGGTTAAGATCCTACTGTGGGCTCGGCACCTGTGGCTCAAGTGGCTAAGGCACCAGCCACATACACCTAAGGTGGTGGGTTCAAATCCAGCCCCCACCCGCCAAACAACAATGACAGCTGTAACCAAAAAATAGCCAGGCATTGTGGCAGGTGCCTGTGGTCCCAGCTACTTGGGAGGCGGAGGCAGGAGACTCACTTGAGCCCAGGAGTTGGAGGTTGCTGTGAGCTGTGATGGCACAGCACTCTACCCAGGGAGATAGCTTGAGGCTCTGTCTCAAAAAAAAAAAATCCTACTGTGTACCAAGTATGTGCTGTAATTAGACAGATAAGGAAGCCATGGCCTGAGAGGGGATGGGACTTGGGCTCTTTTCCCTATCCCCACAGTGCCTTTAGCTTCAGGGTTGAGGCAAGGCTGACCCTATTTTTCCTACTTTTCCCCACCTTTTCTGCTTGGCCATACACAATCTGAGCTCATCTCACTACCTGTGACTTCATATGAAATCCCAAGGGTGGCCAGTATAGTGGTTCATGTCTGTAATCCTAGCACTCTGGGAGGCCAAGGTGAGAGGATCACTTGAGCTCAGGAGTTCAAGACCAGCCTGAGAAAAGCAAGACTCCATCTCTACTAAAAATAGAAAAATTAGCCAAGCATCATGACAGACACTTATAGTTCCAGCTACTCAGGAGGCTAAGCAGGAGGATCGCTTGAGCCCAGAAGTTTCAGGTTGCTGTGAACTATGATGACACCATGGGACTCTAGCCTGAGTAATAGAGTGAGACTCTGTCTCAAAAAAAAAAAAAGGGGGGGAATAAGAAAAGAAATCCCAGGGTTGCTGGAGACCTTCTCTGACCCCCCTGAAATATAACAGGGAGCCCCAGTATTCACTGATGAAGCTTACAGATATATAACCCTGTCCCTCTCTAGAAGGGGCAGTCAGCCACATACTTCGTTGCTTTGGCAATGACTAAGCATCCACTCTGGTTTAGGCTCAAGCTTGTCAGGGCCCTATCCTGGGAGACAGGGTGTACAGTGTTGAGAGAATATGGGTTTGGGGGTCACAAAGACCCAAATACCCCATGGAACCAGTATCTCTGAAATTCATGTCCCTCCACTTTAAAAGGAGACACTGTCACCTGCCTGGCTGAATTGTGCCAGTAAGATGAGATGATGTTGGTGAAAGTGCCTGGCACATGGTCAGAAACTCACGGGTTTCTTCCTTTCTCTTAAAGGAACAAAGCAAATGTGCCTCTGAAACTAGGGGCTATTTTTCTACTGAAATCCTGAAAACCTGTGGAGAGAGGAGGACAGGGCAGAACCAGGAGACCAGCCTGATCTACAAGATAGTAGATCCAGTGGAATGGGAAGGAGACAGAGAGGAGCTATGTCCTTGGAGCTAATGGGCAAACGTGAGGCTGCAAAGGAGCCACTCATTAGCTGTCAACCTTAGGCAAGTTACTTCTCTCTCAACCTCTTTAAGATGAAGAGAAGGACAGTGCCTCCCCCACCCACAGGATTATTATCAGGATGAAATACAGTAAGGGATGGGGAGGGCTAGGCACAGCACTCATAACTAGTAAAGGCTAGTGAGTGTTCCCACTCACTTCCCCAAGGAAAATGTCCAATTCATGCTGGGAAACTTGGGCAAATCCCAGATGGGATTCAGTTTCTTCTGCCCCCTCAGTCAGAGAGGAGCAGTGAGATCTTGCTGGGAGGGCCTCTACACAGACTGCACAGCACACAGGCATCCCATAGCGCCACCTAGTGCCAAAAAGTGGCACCACCTTGCCTGACCTCTCTCCAAAGTCGTGTGTGTGTGTGTGTGTGTGTGTGTGTGTGTGTGTGTGTTTTGGGGGGGGGTGCTTTCACCAGAAGGGAGGGAGAGATAGGCCACTCATATTCCCAGTAAGTATGAACTCATGCTATTTTTCAAGATGCCCACTCTACTTCCTTCCCAACAATTTCTCCCATCCCAAATGTAGGCAAGGTCCCTTGAGCCTTGCCAGGCCTTAGTTTCCTCATCTGAGGATTTCAAGACTTCAGGCTAGGTTGCTTCAGGCAGGGGGCCTTGGAAGTACAGGATGCCTACTGGGTACCCATCTATACTTGTTAAATAACCAAGACAGACTCAATCTTTACACACCCTTTATATTTTTATTGAGGAAAGAAAGCTTTAGCATACAGAGCAATGTCTTATTTTCACAACACAGTAATGCAACAGTAACACATTTATCTCTGAGTTACCTCCAGAGCCTCTGGGAGTCCTTGGGCTGCCTTCATACCCTTGCATGCATCCCCTCCTCCCACCCCTCTTTCAACCCAAGAAAGTTTGCCCCAAACCCATAGTTCCTCTTACAGCTCTTACATCACAACAAATATTGAAGATCTTGGAAAGGGGGAAGAGGGTCAAAGGGAAATCCAAGCCCCTCCTGCCCCCAGAGGGCCAGAAACCAGCTCACTGCTCATCTTCTCTGTCCCTGGCTGAGGCTCCAAGGGTTCAGGGTGAGAAGCACCATGCAAACAGGCATGAGGGCTCCCTGGAAGTAGGGGTACAAGGTACCCATCCTTCATACTCTTCCACAGGGATGTGGGACAGCAGGGACAGTGTGTTGGCCATCAGTAAATAGGGTCCACAGCCTTGAAGAACAGCAACTCCTCTTCTGGAATGCTCTTCTGGGAAAATAAAGCTGGAAAACAGACAAAATTTTCTTTACAAGGTTATTTACTCCTGCCCTGGTGGGGATGGGGGAAACCAGATAATTGAAATGTCCAACAAATTAGGAGAATGCTTAAATTATTCAGTATGCATGACTGCACAGGTGGCAGCCATTTTAAATACTGCTGATCAAGAGCAAAGCAGGATGATCTCAGCTTTGAGAAGACACAGCAAGAACAATCTAGAAAGAAGGCAGCAAGGTGTTAAATAGTGCTTGCATCTGTGTGGTGGGATTCTGAATGTTTGGGTTTTCTCCTTTGGCCTTATAGTTTTCTCTATTTTCCGAATTTTTGGTACTGATTATGTATTACTTTTCTCTTTAGAGAGGAGGGACCTTTTGAAAAGGTAGCAACAGATTAAAGGAACCCAACTCCACTGATCCCTAGGTAGAGAAACAAAAGTAGTCAAGAGAAAGGCATCTTACCTCCCAGTGATGAATAGAGACCTCACCAGAAACCAGTCAGAAGACTGGGTTTCTCTGTGACTCCTCTTCCTCCAACTCCTTCCTCTTACCACCAGGCCCAAATCGTAAGGCTGGCTGAAGTTATCTTTCACATTCCAGTGAGGAACAGAGGTTTGATGTTTCCTTCCCTCTAGCCAGACACTTTGGCTGCACCTGCCTAGCTGCCAGGCACTGTGCAGAAAGTTCAGTGTCCGGGGCAATTCAGGCCAATAGTGGATTTGGCTGGCATTTTGTGGCCAGAGCTGACATAGCAAATGTGTATTTTTCATCGTAGAAGCAGTGTTTTCTGGACCCAAAGGCAAGCAGCAGATCTCTTTTTAAAGGCACCTGGGTTTGTACCCAGAAGTCCTAGGAACTCCTAGGAGGCAGTCACCCTCTTATGCCTCACTGTTTAATCAAAGCACAGCAGGAGGCCAAGGGTTGACTCTCCTGTGAGACACACAAGGGTGTCCCAGGTATGAGGCTGCAGTGGATGCAGTCTCTTCAAAGCCAACCTTTCTCTCTCCTCTCAGAACTATGGAATCCTTTAAGTCAAAGGGAGTTAAAGAACAGGCTGTAGGCCCTCCCTCTTTGGCTGTCCCAGAAGGAAAGGCCAGTTAGGCCCCCTCTGCAGCCCTAAGGATGGAAAGTCTCCTGCAAAGACCTTTGACTGGGAACTAAAGTCCAAGCCTTGGCTAGGGGAGGAGACCACCAGGAAAGAGTTACTCTTTATAACGGTAAACTGAATTGTTGCTACTTCTTTCTCCTCCCTTACCCCACAACTGCCTACCCTTTAGACAACAAGGAAAGGGGTAGAGCCTGCAATGTTGGACACTGTCCACCAGGGATGCAGTGTGGTTTGGAGAGGAGAGGGCCCCAGGTTTGGCAATCTGGTCCCAGGAGCCCTAATACAAGAGTCTATGCAAAGGTAAACTCAAGTGCTGGAAATGGAACCAGCTTGCACAATTAGTCAAGGACAAATCTCAGTCAAGTTATCCACTTGACATGTGGCTTTTCACACTCTCACTGGACTAGATGCAGGGTCCTCTACCAGGCCCTTCTGCTGGAGGTGTGACATGAAATGACTGAAGGCTTCTAGGTACATTTCTTAATATCATCCTGCTCGCCGTCCATTACATCTAGTGTTACTGGCCTCAGTGGCTTTAGAAGTTCAGTGTAGCCTGTCCTTTGGATCACTGGGGCAGATCAGTGAGGCACTGGGTGAAGTCCTGGTAAGCCAGTCAGAGGATAAAACTGTAGAACATAGAGCAAATAAACATAGGAGAGGTGATGGTTAGGAACAATTAGAGGGAAAATGTAAGAGAGTGACCAGTTCATTTATGGGAACAGGCCCAGAAACCTGCTCTCTAGCTGTGGCAGGACTGAACAGAGGGAGCTATTGCTGATCCCTCCTTTCCCAAGTGGCCCTGGTTGGGCACATGTCACTCTCTAGTCTTGGTTGCAAGATGGTCTAGAGTTTGTAGGTCTTCTTCAGGTTCTGCAGGTCTAGAAATCCCTTAAGTACTGGTCAGCAGATGGGGCAGGTATGGCAGCAACAGCAGGGACAGGGGACACAGAAGAAGGGTGTGTTCCAAGTGGCCATCTTGCCCCACCACTCACACTCGAATTCGGCCACGGGCAGCTCGGTGGCCCCCCTGTCTTGGAGTAAGGCGGAATAGCACCGGGGGGCGTCTTCGAATTTGGCGTTGCCCCAAACGACCAGCCCGGCGAATCAGCGGTGGTGAGCTATAGAATGGTGAATTAGTGCCTGGAAGGCCTTCCAGAAGTGGGACTCGATTCTGGTTCCTCCATCTGCTAGCCTGTATTATGGGAGGTGATGCACCCAGGAAATTTTCGGCATAATTGCCACTTATGGGGCCAGAAGTCTGGGATGATGCGTGGGCAAAGGTAGGCTCCATTTCCATCAGGTCATCTAGGTCATCATCTTGGGCTTCATCCAGGGGCTCCTCCTCCTCACCATAGGTCTCCACCATCTCTGGCTCCTGCCTGGGCTCCTGCTCTGGTTTCTGGCCCCCATCCTCAACTTCATCTTCCTCCTCATCCTCCTCTTCATCTTCATTCATCTTCCTCATATCCTCCTCCACTTTCTGTTTCATCTCCTTCTCTTCCTCCTTTTTCCTCATGTCTTCCTCCTTCATCTCCTCTTCCTCTTTCTCTCTCATCTCCTGCTGAAAAGCCCTCATGCGCCTCCGCTGGTCTTTGGGATGAAGCCTGTGTCTTTGTGCCTGTTGATCTTCATCCTCACTGTAGTACTCTTCATCTTCACTTTCATCCTCATTATGGCTCGGAGCAAAAGGGAAGAGGATATTGCGAACCCCAGGGAGCGGAATTGGCTTGGGGGCACGTACCTTTCTCTCTATCTCCACACATTCAAGGATCAATTCATCCAAGTCCGCCATTTCAGTTGACCATAACAGCTCCTTGCGGAAGAATTCTGACAGGCCTTTGAGGAATTGATTTTGGAGGCGGCAGTCATCCCAAGACAAGAATTGGGCCAGGAACTGAAAAGCATCTGCATAGCTGCCGATGGTACAGTCTCCCTGCTTGAGCTTGCGGATGGCCTTCTTAGCCACACGTGGGGGGATGGGGCCACAGAATTTTTTACGGATTTCATCCAGGAAGCCCGGGAAGTTGGCATGCAGGGGGCTTCCTTCCTGGGTGACTGAGATGGCCCAGTCCTCGGCTTCCCCAGTGAAAAAGGAGATCAGAAAGGCCACCCGCTCGGCACCCCCGGGGAAATGATCCTCATGGTCAGCTATGAAGGTCTCTAGCTGCATCAAGAATTCTGCGAGGTAGACTGGGTCGCCTGAAAACGGCTCTAACTCAGGCCGCTGTAGCGGCGGCAGAGGGGCCTCTGGGGGCGACTCCTTTGACGCGGGCGGGGGCACTGCCGGAAGGGGCGCGATGGTCCCGTCAGGGGTGCTGCAATCCTGAATCACGTTAATCAAAAGATCATCCGAGACATACTCGGGCTCAACGCGAGTTGAGGGAGGCCAACACAAGAAGGGCAGTTCTCCCTGGGGAATGGTGTCGATCTCACTGAGCGGGAACTCAAAGTTCTCCTCCGCAAGGACGGGCACAATGGGTACTGGCCAGCGGATGTAGCTCGAGACATTGCCTCGCAAAGAATTAACCTCGGCCAGGGCTCTTCCAAGCTGAAGGCCCAAATTGGCATTCTCCCCGCGCAGGGCATTTAATTCTTCTCGCAGGGCTACATTGGCCATGCGGAGGCTATTGAGGTTTCCTGCCGCCTCGGACATCTTGACCAGCTTGGTGACCCTGGATCTCGGGGCAGGGACGGGGAGCTACTGGCAGCTGGAGGAGGCCGAAATGTGGCGGCTGGTGAAGGAGAGACCAGGCCACACCCACGGGGGCGAACACGGAGGGCGGCGCTCCGGACCGAGGGCCCGAAGGCTCTGCTTGGGGCGTGTTACCTCGTCGCAGGGGTCGTAGAGGGCGGGCAGCGGCGCTGGGCCGGGAAGCGCCAAGCGGAGGGTGAGGTCGACTCGGCGGCGGCAGCGGGGCGGCTGGGCGTGCGGAGGCTGGCAGAGCTGGAGGGACCCCACTGCGGCAGGATCTGTGGAGGAAAAGTCCTGCAGACTGCGATACCCCGCCTTTTAAGCGCAGCCTAGCACTCCGCCCCCCCCACCCGCAGGGGCGGGTCTTAGGGAAACGCGGACGCCCACTGGCCGCAGCTCGCCTCTCCCCCTACCTCGGTAGCGCCTCTCACTGACTCTCTCCTTCCCTAACTGCAGCTAACTCGGGTCGGGAAAATGCGACAGCGACTGCCCACTCGAGGTCGTCATGGCGACAGCCAGTGAACGTGTTCCTCTCCTCGGGCAGGCCCCAGAGTGTAGAAGAGCTGCTTCGCGAGGCGCAGCTCAATCTCCAGAGCCTGTTGCAAGGTACTGAGAGGGAGGGGGCCGCAGCCAGAGCCCAGAGGCAAAATGCGCAGCGACAGGAGGGAGGCAAAGAGGAAAGAGGACACAGGAACCAGCAAGAGAAAAAGAGAACAGTTTAAAACCTATCGACAAACATCACAGTTTCCATCTTTCGCTTTTCAGGCTAGTAATTCTTAAGGAGTCTATTTCCAGCAACCCCCCCCCTCCATTTTTAAGCTCTGAAGTCCATGGGGAAAACAAGGACAGAGGCAGAGGGTCAAGCTATTCACAGAGAACTGGGTGGGAAACTCCCACATTCCCTCCAACCCTCCTTTTGCCACATTGCCCATGCCTTTGGAATCCTGGCACCAGAAAACAAAGGGGCCATCTGCAGAGTCTCTCACTCTGGGCTTCACTCACTCTGCTCTTACAATAACCTTGTCCACATGCCTCCTGGGTAGCTACTGCCTCATCAAAGTAAGTCCAATACACAGCACCCAGGGGTGACCTATTTTCTCCTAACCAGGCTGAGCTTCTTGACGTAAAGACTCATCCAAGTGCAGGGTTTCCAGAAGCACTTGGCACAGGACTGTATCCCCCAAGAGGTGCTCAGTGGATGTTAAATGCAAACAGAGGTCTCGTCAGCTCTAATTCACCTATACCAATGAAGGTTAACAATAATGGAGAATAGAAAACTGCCAGTGGGCCACCAACTGGACTACAGCCCCAACCCCCACCTTCCCGCCAGGGCAGTGATGACCTTAGAGAAGCAAGAAGCCAGGGACAGCATAAGCCTTGTGTTCAGATAACAGAAGAGCTGCTGTGCAGAAAAAAGACTCTAGGCTTATGCCTGTAATCCTAGCACTCTGAGAGGCAGAGACAGGTAGATTGTCTGAGCTCAGGAGTTCAAGAACAGCCTGAGCAAGAGTGAGATTCCGGTCTCTAAAAATAGCCAGGTGTTGTGGCGGGCACCTGTAGTCCCAGCTACTTGGGAGGCTAAGGCAAGAGAATTGCTTAAGCCCAAGAGTTTGAGGTTGTTGGGAGCTGTAACACCACAGCACTCTATTGAGGGTGACAAAGTGAGACTCTGTCTCAAAAAAAAAAAAAAAAGAGAGAGAGAGAGAAAGAAAAAGACTCAGTGTGCTCCATGTTGTTACCACAGCAGAATTAAGACCAGTGGGTGGAAATCCAGAGAGAGGCAGGTTTCACCTCCAGATAAGGAAGAACTTCTCGAACACACCTGACAGCCCCAACTGTCCCTAGAAGGAATGAGCTGCCTTGGGAGGGAGAGAGCGCCCCTTCCCTACAGGTGTGTGCAATAGGAATGAAGAAGCACCTGGAAGGGCTGCTGAGGAGGGAGTCTGGGCACAAAATGGGGTGTTGGACTAGAGAACACCAAGAGCAACCCTGAGTTTCTACAATTCTAAAAGAGTCTTTGTTTAATTGTACATAGAGCACAGGTGTTCATTCTTTACTCTTGCTTTCTTTGTTTATTCATTAAATACATCCCTTCAGTGAAACCCATTCAAATCTTATACATTCGCCTTATTACCTGACAGTGTCCCTGAACTTCTTCCTCTTCTATGCCACTACCTTCTCCTTTCCTCTCTTCCACATTAGTCCTCCTAGACCTGACCCCACCCTTAGTGGGACTAAGGCTCAGGGAAGCAGGCCCACAAATGCTCAAGTAAGACTTCTTGGCATTCAAGAGAAAATTCCAGACTGGACTTCCCTGTGCAAATCTCCTCTTGCTGCACACAGGTCATTCCCTTGGTAGGCTTGCAGAAAACTGGAAGAGCTGTAGGGCTTCAAAGAGAAGACTTTGCAGTCTAAAGGAGCTAAAGGTGTCTGCATCCTGAGTCTCTTCTCCAAGTTGAGCACTTAGGGTAGGGGCCATTGAGATAAGGGCTTGGTCCCTAAACCAGCACAGATTGAAATTTATGGACTTTCTTTCCTCTTCGGCCCTCATAATCCTGGGAAGCAGGCACTTTTCCATTTCTGAATCCAGTGGCTCAGGAGCCAGGAAATAGGCTTTATTATAGAAACTGTGCAGTCAAGCCTGGTGGCTAATGCAGAGGCACCAGCTCATGGTCCTTCCCCAGCCCAGTGCCCAGCCAGGACCCCCTAGAGTGTGTCTCCACTCTGCTATTTTTCAGAAGAATTTGAGGAACAGTACTCCGAGGCCAGACTTCTGGGGCAGACCTTCCGCTCTTCAGATGAGGCCCCCAGGCCCACCCCCAGCCCAAGGCCCCAGTCTGCCAGGCGTGTGGAGTTTGTATTGATGGTGAGTTGCCTCTTCCCCCTCCTGGGAAAGCCAGCATGCACTCAGTGACAGGAGATCTCAGGCTGCTTACGTTACCTACTGGAAGTTGCTGCTCACCTTTGCTGACCAGCAGAGCTACTCTGAGGCCCCACTGGGATGGGCCTTGCACAGCAGCCTGGCAGCCTCTGCACATTCTCCTGCCTCCCAGATGAAGCCTCCACAACCCTACCTAAGCAAGCATCCTGTGAGCAGCGGCTCATTGCCAGGCAGGAGCACACCCTTTTCATCACCTTCTTTCCCAACAGCCTACAAAACAGCAGCTGAGTGAGGATGAGACCACCACCCAGGGTGTGAGGGCCCCTGAGGCCGTGCTGGGCCTGCCTACCACAGCCGTCAAGCAAACTGCCTGGAATAGCCCCTTCCCTCTGCCCATCCTAGAGGACAAGCGGTGGCCTCAGCCTTGCTCCACACAGTCTGACATTGTGCCCATCAATGTCTCTGGTAGAGTTGCTTAGCACCACCTCTGTCTGCTTCCCTCTATGCTAGCTACTACAGACCATCCTCTCCGATGCTGGGGGAGGGAGTAAGACTTTCTTTGCTACTGGCTTACCCTGTGCTGTCACGGTTATGGCTCTTACCAGGGAATGGAGGCATGCAGAAGAGGGGGCTCTGGCTGCTTTCTTCACTCCCTACTGGCACTGCCACACTAACTGAGACAATTTGATAGCAAACCGTTTTCTTAACAGAAAGCTCCAAAACTTTCTATAAACTTATGTGCTCTTCAGAGCATACATAAAAACTTATTAATTTGTGAGTTCTATTTGGGTTGGGGAGAGACCACTTCTTGCACCCAAAGCCAGGTTTGGAGTACACCAATAGGAGCCAGAGAGGGATAAAGGGGTTCAGAATGCTGGTGGTAAAAAGGAGGTCACTCCCAGGCACAGACCAGAGGACTTGTGGCACTTGCCCTAGATGCTGGTCTTCTAGCCAGGTGGCCTCCTCAACTTGTTTGGCAAGTTTTTCAAGAATAGAATAGCAGAAAGATACTAAGGCCAAAAAGACCAAAAGGGGACCCAGTACAGCCTCAAGAGTGGGGAAAATGGTGTACATAGTCCAGCTGGCTGTGGCTCTGGGGGCACGTGGCACACTGTACCATATGCATTGTTAATTCATGCTCCACACTCCATTGGCTATAAGGGAAAGAAAAGGAGGCCAGTCATTTTCTTTTCTTTCCTTTTTCAGATTAATATGAGGTACAAACGATTAGGTTACATTGTTTGCATTTGTTAGGTAAAGTCCCTGTTGTAGTTGTGCCCCCTCACTGAGGCCAGTCATTTTCAAAAGGACATAAGGCCAATGATCTGATAAAACCAGGGCAAGACCTCAGTAACTCAAAGGGACCAGAAGGACCTTGGGAGCCAACACCAGTCCTTGCTATGCTGGAAAATGTTAATGAAGACAATGAGGACAGCTCTAGTCACATTTGGCATTGCTTCCTGGATATGGGGTCATCCACTACCACTACTGTCATTTCAGGAAATCAGAGGCAGGAAATAGAGCCCATAGCTTAGGGAGATGTGCTGAAAGGAGTAAGGACTGATAAAGAAAGACTCATAAAGTGATGTTAAGTGCTCTCTTTCTGAATGTCTATCTTAATCTGAAGGAGGCTATCTCTGAGTTTTGCCCAGAGAGCCTCTTGCTGGCTCATGTGTACATATGTGGCCATGTGGCCAGGGTGAAGGGTCCGGTTAGCCAGCTTCTGGATGACAGACAGGGAAGGGAACTATATACCTCACCCCATGGCCCTACCTCACCCTGACTCTGCCCCAGTCATTTCCCAGAAGCCAAAGACTGGCCTAGCACTTTAAGAGAAATAGAGCTCATTTACTACGCTGAGGCCAACTTTGGTAAAATGTGACCAACTGGCTATGGGACAGAATATCAGGCATTTTCCTGGATGGTAAAACACAGTAGGGCAGCTTCTTGGAGACACTTGCTTCACCTGGTCTATATAAAGGCTTTCTCTAAGAAATGATCACAGTCAAGCAACATTTAGTCTCAGCCCCTCCTCCTCACTGATGGCTCTCACCCCTGGCTCTCACCTGTGGCTGTATATCTGAATAATCACCCAAGAACTTCTAGAGAATGATTCTACCTGAATTCTACTCCCAGAGATTTAAGTGTTCTGGGTTGGGGTCTACGTAATTGAGATTCCAAAGCTGCCCAGCTTGTTTTAATATGTAGCCAGGGTTGAAAACCACTGTCCCAGCCCACCTAAGACTTACAGGTGACCTGGATGGAGCCTATGAAACCCAGCATGTATGTCAGATCCAAATGGGGAGGGACGGGGAAGAAACGCTGCTTGTCTTGGACACTATTCATGCTCATCGCTACTGCCATCATCCATTCTCTCTACCTCAGGCCAGTTTCCACTGTACTTTAAACAGAAACCAGGATGCACCCAAGTGTCTTTATTTTGGCTACAGGGCAGCAGTTTGATAAACATGCAAGTTTGCGACACTCCTTGTTTAACACAGAAACAGCCGTGAACCCTAAGTCCACCCTGAGGCGGAGGCGGACCATTATTGGATTCTCTAACTTTTCCCAGCGAGACCAAGGTGACCCCACCACAGCTGATCCCCTAGACCCCTCCCCATGCCCACTCCCACCATCCTGCCACCCAGGTGGTACTGTCATGATGGGGAACAAGAATAATTGGGGGGGGGGCAGGAAGAGGACTGTGGATGTCCTGAAAAAGCCAATGTAGTCCTTAAGAATAGCCAAGGGGGCTGAGCGGTGGCTCAGGCCTGTAATCTTGGCACTCTGGGAGGCCGAGGCAGGTGGATTGCTTGAGCTCACAAGTTCAAGACCAGCCTGAACAAGAGCAAGAGCCCATCTCTACTAAAAATAAAAAAACTGAGGCCAGAGGATTGCTTGAGCCCAAGAATCAGAGGTTGCTGTGAGCTCTGATGACGCCATGGCATTCTACCCAGAGCAACAAAGTAAGACTCTGTCT